TTTTGCAATTATCCATCAATTTTTTAAAATTAAACACTATCTACAGATTTGCATCGAAGCGTTTCTTATGATAGTGATTTTAATCACTGTCAGATTAAATCTATCTGGACCCAACTATGCAATGTCTCCACTATGCCGCGACCCCACTGTGCTACCGTTTTTGTTTTAATATATTTTATTAAAACATGATTTAAATAACATATAATAATACTTTCACGTTATTCTTTATTTTTATTTCATTGAACTTGAACTTGAAAATAATATTAATTTTGTTTTGTTTATAAGAACACGAACTTTTAAGTTTCAATTCATTAAATTTTTTTAATGAATTGCTCATAAAGTTCTTTATGTTTTTTTCTAAATTAGTTGTATGGTTTTCCTAAAATTATTAAATTACCAATAAATTTATTTGTTATTAATAATAATAAATACAGTAGCAATCTATACATCAATAAAGATATAAAAAAAATTCTTATTTTTACAATTTTATATCCAAAAAAACCCATCACAGTGGGGTGGCGGCACAGTGGGGTCGTGGCATAGTTGGATCCAGTATAGATGATATCTGACAGAATGATATTTTGCAGATAATAGAACATCAATTAAATTTTTAACCTGTGTCCACTCATCAGATTTTAAAAAATATTTTTTTATTTTGGTATTATTTGCAGCAATACTTCTAATAAATTCTTTGTGATACATAATTCTGCAAAGCATATCAACGTGTGATAAAATCCAATATTAGCATATTTAAATTTTCTTTATTAATTAAATATTGATCTGTTTGATTATTTAGTTAAAGCTCTCACTTTATCTAATATTTTAATAATACTTGCATTTTTCAGTATATCTAGAACAGTCAATTACAGAACAATTAAAATAGAAAAGTATAAAATAAATAAAAATGAATATGTAAATTATAGCTATACTTTAAATTTGAAATTTACTTAGATAATAACTTTTAAATAAAATCAATGTTTTTATACTATACAGATTTAATACTATTATTTTTTTATACATAATAAAAGTTATTTCAGTTAAATTGTTTATAAAATCTGAAGAGATTTAATTAATCTAGTAAGAAAACGCTAACATTAATAAGTTATTTTAAAAAACCCAGTACAGTGGGGACATGGCATAGTTGGTTCCAGTATAGATTTAATCTGACAGTGATTAAAATCACTATCATAAAAAACGCTTCGATGCAAATCTATAGATAGTGTTTAATTTAAAAAAAAAATTTGTCAAAAAAGTAGGTCAAATGAGAGCTGAGAAAATAAATGATAGCTACAAAAAAAAAAAAACCACATAGTAAAATAATATTAATATGAATTTCTTCTCACAAGAGGAGACTACAGTAATGGAATCCTTGATATTTATTTAAGTTATTGAATCTAAATGAGATAAACATTTTTTTTTAACTCAAAAAGAATTAAAAAAAAATTCAGTGCCACAGTCGTGAAAGACCAAAGTGTTACCGTCTCAAAAACCGTACGACTCATTCGTCACTTAATAAAAATGGAAATTTAGCTAGTTCAAATTTTAAAGTTATTTTTCTCGACTTCAAAGAAACAAAAAAATTAAAATATGATTAATTTTTTATACTATGTCATTTAGATTGATATAATATCTATGAAAATCAGTGCAATAGCATATTTTTAAATACGGTAGCTATTTTAAAATTAAGTTGAAAAAGTTAGTTTTTGTAAAAAAGTTGCTATTTTAAATCCCCTTTGTGAGCAGAATAAGTGTTAGATTTTCAAAAAAAATGATATCAAATGAAAGGAAAATATCTAAGGTTTCAATATAAAAAAATATTATTTTGATTTGTTAATATTTGAGAAAGTTATGGCAGTTTTAAGTACAAAAAACATCCTTATAGAAGGTGATTTTTATCGCTAATATTACATTTTTTTTTAAATTTCGACAGCAATTTGCACATAGTAGATAAGGTGTCGGGATAAGAATTTTAACATAATAATAGCATATTTTTAGATACGGCAGACATTTGCATGCAGAAGATAAAGTGTCGGGACAAATTTTTTTTTTTCATTTTACAGTACATAAATTAGCTTTAATTTGATATATGATTAAAGGACGCAGTATTTCCGGAACACTTTCAAAAGTTAAGTTGAAAAAGTTCTATTTTTTATACAATGTTTCAAGTTTTGAACGCCCCCTACATATGGGGAAATAGTCCAATTTTAATAAAAAGTATGTCAATTGAAAGATGTACTTATAATGTATTTAGAAAAAAAATTGTGCTGATAATTACATTTTTTGAAAAGTTATAGCATTTCTAAGTTGAAAATTTAAAATCGAAAATCGAAAATTTTAACACAAAAATAGTGTTTTTTTAACTACGGCAGCCGTTTACATGCAGAAGATAAAGTGTCGTGACAAATTTTTTTTTTTTTCATTTTGTAGTACATAAAATAAGCTTTAATTTGATATATGTTTAAAGGACGCAGTATTTCCGGAACATTTTCAAAAATTAAGTTGAAAAAGTTAGTTTTTGTAAAAAAGTTGCTATTTTAAATCCCCCCTGTGAGCAGAATAAGTGTTAGATTTTCAAAAAAAAATGATATCAAATGAAAGAAAATTACCTAAGGTTTCAATATAAAGAAATATTATTTTGATTAGTTAATATTTGAAAAAGTTATGGCAGTTTTAAGTACAAAAAACATCGTTATAAAAGGTGATTTTTATCGCAAACATTACATTTTTTTTATAATTTCGACAGCCATTTGCACATAGAAGATAAGGTGTCGGGACAAATTTTTTTTTTTCATTTTGTAGTACATAAAATAAGCTTTAATTTGATATATGTTTAAAGGACGCAGTATTTCCGGAACATTTTCAAAAATTAAGTTGAAAAAGTTAGTTTTTGTAAAAAAGTTGCTATTTTAAATCCCCCCCAATGAGCAGGTTCAGTGTTAGATTTTCAAAAAAATGATATCAAATGAAAGAAAAATATCTAAGGTTTTAGTATAAAAATAATTATGTTGATTTGTTTATTTTTGAAAAAGTTATGGAAGTTTTAAGAAAAAAAAGTGAAAAAAATGACAAAATTTACCGATTTTTAAATTTGTAATTTTTTTGGATATTTCCCCCATTAGCGGGGAACGAGGGAAAATTTTTCAATTTTTAAGGGTTATGTCTTCAACTAGATACAATTTTTGATCTTTTGACGTATTGTTGAAAGAAATCGGTCCAGTAAGAGCTGAGAAAAAGTGGCGACAAAAAAAAAAACACATCATGGTAAAATTAATACCTTCTCAGCTTCGCATCGAAGCTAAAATGAGATAGTTCATATTACGAAATACATCTACAAATAAACTTACTTCATACACCTTAGAACAGTATTTACTCGTTGATGTCTTATTTTTTTCACAGTAGATAAAATAATTATTAATTACAAATTTACTTTTACCCATGATATCTCAGGTGGATATTATTATTTTATATATATTATTAATTTTAATCAAAAATATCATTGAAATAATAAAATAAAATCCACAAAATGGCATGCGTTTATTAATGGATATTCATGTATTATTTGAAATAGAATTCATCAGCGCGCAAAGTCGTTAAATAATAACAAAATTATCATAATCACTAAATCTAAAAGAAGTTTAATTTATTATTAAAGCCATAAAACTGTACAAACTGTTAAACGTTTTATCAGTTGTCGCGTTTGAGGAAGACGCGGACCAAAGTCCGTGGAAAAAAAACACAAGAAACAAAACCATACAATATTACTATAACTTATATTAATGACTATCACAGCATAAGTAACAATTTAGAGATCTACAGTAAATAAACAGTCGATAATTATGTGTATTATGTTTTAAATATAATTATTTCATTTAAAAAATAGAAATATAATAATTTTTAGACAACAAACATTTCATGGAACTCTTAATTAGTTCATACATTTTACTAATTTTATAAAATAAAGCTTTTACTTATTCTTACCAAAATAATTCTCAGTTGTTATCAAAAAAATCAAACGTTGTTAGAATTATAAATATAAAATGCTGCTTGACGGCTAAGTACCATTTAAACGAACCTTTATTATTAAAGGTTCCGGTTTGGTACTGATTTGTGGCTATCTGAAAATAAAAATTCCTATTCTGGTTGTAATTCTAAAAAATTTAAAGATTCCGGTTGAAGAACTGTTTTTTTAGGTTCGTTTCAGTCTCTGACCTATTTCCTTATTTACTGAACACTCTGTATAATCTCTAACTAGTTACTAAGGTACCTGTCTCTCCTTCAGGTAAATAAACCTCATTTAAGGAAATGAGGACAATATTTGGACAGACGTCGGGTAGCTTTCAATTCTTTGTTTCGACCAAGATCCCCAAGTATTAAATGGACCCCTAATATTATGTCACATGTACAATTTATACAATAAATAATTAACATTAAGAAAAATTACAACATAAATTTAAAAATAAATTTTTTATTTAAATTGTAGACTAAAAATCAAGTTAAAAAATTTAGTTTATAATCTTAAAATATAACAATAATTTTTAACAAAAAACATTTTTTGATGATAATTAATGATTTGTTATGTTTTCTTTTATTGTTTGTTATACTATATTATGGGTTGTTCTGGCAAAAGATATTCGAAAATAGTAAGCATGTAACATAGTAAATGTCGTTCTAAAAAAATTATTTAAGTTAGAAAAATAGTTTATAATTTTAATATATATTTTATTTTACTTTGAAAATATGTTTCGAAAGTACCAATTACTTTAACGATTTTTCCATCAATAAATTTACATAATACTGTAGTTAGTTCATCAATTGTTAAAAATCCGTCTTTATCAACATCATTTTCTATAATTATTTTTGTACAATATGTTACTTGATCTACAGTAAATCTTATCACCTACAATAAAAATCACTTTTATTATACAGAATGATTCAATTATAATGAACTAATTAATTAGTTGAAAAATAAAAATAAGATTATTTTTATTAAATTATGAATTTTAGCTTCGATGCGAAGCTGAGAAGGTATTGGTTTTACTAAGATGTGTTTTTTTTTTTTTTTTTGTGTCTGTTACCAATTTTTATCAGCTCTCACCGAACCCATTTCTTTCAATGATACGTCAAAAGATCACAAATCGTATCTAGTCGAAGATATTATCCTTAAAAATTGAAAAAAATTCCCTCGTTCCGCGTAAATGGGGGAAACTTCCAAAAAAATTACAAATTTAAAAATCGCTAATTTTCAAAATTTTTTCAATTTTTTTCACTAAAAACTGCCGTAACTATTTCAAAAATGAACATATCAATATAATTTTTTTTTTTATAGATGCTTAATGTCTTTACCTATCATTTTGTATATTTTTTTTTTATATGTGACCCTTTACTTGCCCACAGAAGGGGATTTAAAATGACAACTTTTTCACAAAAAATTACTTTTTCAACTTAACTTTTGAAACTGTTCCGGAAGGTCTGACACTTTTATATATATCTTAAATTATAGGTAATATAATATACTTTATTATGATAAAACAAAAAAATTTGACTTCTAGACTTGTTTTCGTGGTGAAAATAACTATTAAATGCTATTTTCGTGTGAAAATTCTCGATTTTATTTTTAAAATTTTTAACTTTATAATGCTATAACTTTTTGAAAAATGCATGTATCAGTACAATAATTTTATGAGAAATAATATTTTTTAATATTCCCTTTTTCATTCGACATACTTTATCTTAATTAGGATATTAATAAGGAACTAGCAGATCAAGTAGCTTTTGGAATAATACACCAATTTTTTTAAAATTAAACACAATCTAAAGATCTGCCTCGAAGCGTTTATTTTTGATAATGATTTTAATCACTGTCAGATATCATTATACTTGATCCAACTATAACACGGCACCACTGTGCCACGATCTCCCTGTGCTGGGTTTTTTTTTTGATTTCTTCTATATTGTAATGGACAATATGTTGTACCTTAGATGGGGGTGACAAAATAAGAAAAGAGGGTCGCCGACCTACTGAGCAAGACCTAAGATTTGAACACAGATAGATATTATAAGAAATTAGAAAAGTATACTTTTTTGTAAATATAAAATAATTCATTAACCTCCACTTCATATTTTATTCTTTTTACTCGCCTTAATCCCAACTACTATGGGTCGGCTACTCTTATACTAAACTTCCACTGGACATGATCTACCCTCATATCGCATTCAAAAATTTCCTCCATCTCTTTTTTGGTCTTTCTCTGCTTCTTCTTCCTTCAACATTTATTTATATAACTGTTTTTACAGCTTCCAATTCCTCTTTCCACATAACATGACCAAATCGTCTAAGTCTATTTCTCTCACCTTATCCACGATTGACGCTACACCTATATATATATATATATATATTTATAGGTGTAGCGTCCCTTTTATATGTTCGTTCCTTATACTATCTTTTCTAGTCACTCCACTCATCTATCTTAGCATTCTCATCTCTGCTACACTTATTCTCTGCTCTATTATCTTGTCAACTACATAACACTCTGAACCATACATCTCACTACAGTTTTATTGAACTAACCTTTCAGCCTCATTAGAATTCTCTTATCGCATAACACCAAAACGCTTTTTTCCACTTAACCCACCCGTACATAACCCTGTGTCTTAAATTCTTGTTAAAACCACCGTTCTGTTGCACAACTGATCCTAAATATTTAAAACTTTCCACCTCTCCTTTCACGCTCTCGCTTATTGTCATTGATCTCCTCATTTCACCTAGCTCGTGTTCTCTTTTGTTAAACTCGTACTCTATATACTCTGTCTTACTGCTACTTATTCTTAATTCCTTTCCTTCAAGAGTTAATATCTACATCTCTAGCCTTTGGTTAATTTCCCCCCTATTTTCTCTTATTAACACTATATCGTCAGCGAACAATATGCACCACGGCACCTCTCCTTGTATTTCTCTAGTAATTTCATCCATCACTATAGAAAATAAGTAAGTGCTTAAAGAAAAACATTGGTACACTCCTACTCTTATCATAAAATCGTGTATTACTCTTCCCACACTTTTTACCCTGGTACAAGTGTCATCATACATATTGTCTATTATATTAATGCACCTTTTTGGGACTCCTTTTCTCATTAATGTTCACTTTAAAACCTTTGATCTATTACTTCCACTCTTATAAGTTATATATAGTTCTTCCCTATTTTTAAAATAAATATTAATCACAGCAAGATCATAGATGCTACGAAATACAGGATTCTTTCTTCAGTCTCATTTTTCCTACTAAAATCATACGCACATAATGTTTAATTTTAAAAAAATTGGTGGATAATTGGAAAAGCAAAATCAACTCCTATTTCCTTATTTATTATCCTGATTACAAATTCTATGATTTATAAGTATAAAAAAAAACTTATGTAAAGACAAATATTTTGATATATTATTTTATAAAATTTATTGAATTTTTTACATGTGATAACAATATTGTTAACACGAAAATAATTAAACAGCTTATTTTTTATACTTTGTTATTTTAAAAGTTGCAACGCTTCATTACAACTTTTTCAAATGTTTATACTGTCTTTAATGCTTATATTACTTATTGAGTTGAATTTTATAGCATTGAACTAGTATTAGTTGAAACAAATCATAAAAAACAGCTTTTTTTGAAAATTTGTAAAAAATTAATAATATTAAAAATTTAGTTTTTTAAATTAATTAATAATAACTTTTTTTAATTTTTATAAAATTAAATAAAATGAAATTCTATAAAAGTGCATTATATCTTTGTTGTATATTAAGGTACCCCTTATTTATAAAATTTAAAAATTACAAAGTGCCACCCCTAGAATTATTCGAATACATGAAAAAATAAATTGTACAAAATTTGGAGACGATTGGTAAACTCTAAGACGTACCCCGGGGGGGTTAAAAATACCCCCCCCCCCAAAAGGGTGATTTTTTATTTTTTCTCAAAAACTTTAACTTTTGCGAAAACGTTTATTTGGCCTTTTTTGTAGGTATACAATTTTTCTATAAAAAGTATACAGAGTGATTTTTTTATCATAACCCACTCAATTACTTACAGAGTAATAATAATTTAAACATTTTTAGCTTCGATGCGAAGCTGAGAAGGTATTAATTTTACTATGATGTGTTTTTTTTTTTTTTTTTTTTTTTTGTCTGTTTCCACTTTTTCTCAGCTCTCACCGAACGGATTTCTTTCAACNATATTCTGCAAGCAATTGAGTGGGTTATGATAAAAATATCACTCTGTATGTACAAAAATTTTCGAAAAGTTCTTATTTAGCCCTATAAAAATAAAAACGTATATGTTCTATTTATACCGTTAAAATTATTAATTTATAAATCGTCCATTATAAAAACAAAAAAAAATTCATTTAACCGTTGTTTTAAATTTAATTTTCTATACATTTTTAATTTGACATTTTTTCTATTATTTACTATTAAAAACTTACAATTTTTTTAATTTTAATTAAAAAAAAAACATTAGAGTAAAATTAATACTGTCTCAGCTTCACTTTGATGCTAAAATAATGTTAACTTACAAATTTATATACAATCAGAAACTATTAAAGAAAAAAAAAGTACTAAAAAGATTTACTACACATTTTAAATAATTTATTTTTTTTTAAATTCTTAGCATAATGTGCTTTTATTGTAATTAGGAAAACAACGCTGTATTTTGTAACAATCTGTTATAGGTATTGTTTTTGTGCTTCGTCTTTTGTTAATATATTATTATACTCTTCTATGAGTTTCACGCCCCTCTCTGCTAAATCATTTATAACTTTTAAATTATTTACTATTATTTTTTCTCTGATATATTGACTGTTGTTTTCCACAACCAAGGATTGATATTTAAAAAATCAGTTTCAATGTTATATTTTTCAAACAACTTTTTTGACTAAGTTGAAATAAAATCATCAATACTTTTATTTTAAAACCATAAATTTCATTTACTGCTATTACTATACATATGTTTGTACATGGATCTTCTTCCCGATTATTTAATGAATTTATCATTTTAATTTTAGTATTTTCTCATAAATCATTATCAAAAAATGCCAATGCTGTCGTTTCGGATACTAAGTACCATAATAAACAATATTTTAAATATTTGTATTTAATATTAATTATATATTTTTAATATTATTATTATTTATTATTTAAAATATGTAGTAAATTTTTTAGTATGTTTTTTTTTGTAAATAGTTTCTGATTATTTATAAATTTGTAAGTTAACATTATTTTAGCTTCAATGTGAAGCTGAGACGGTATTAATTTTATTCTGATGTGTTTTTTTAAAATTAAAATTTAAAAAATTGAAGGTTTTGAATAGTAAATAATAGAAAAAACAAGTTTTTTTCAATAATTTTCGATTAACATTAACGAATGTGTTGCAATATCGTCCGTGATGTTAGTAATATTATTTGTTTTTTTGTTTAAATATTTTATTTTATTTTTTTGCCTTTATTTGTAGACATGGTTTTTGATGCATTCGTATTTTTGTCCATGTTTAACTTAATTTTCTTTTTTTCAACAATTAAGTTAAATTTCCTTATCAATTTTAACTGTAATATTTATTTTATTGCGCGAGTAACTTAAGTACTCGCGTGTATTTTATCCCTGTTCCTTAATCTAGACACGAGTTACGGTATGTTTTACATATCAACCACATATAACTTCAATTGTCATAGTTGTGGTTAATAAAACACGATGTGTTTTAATCATTTATACATATAACGACATATTAATTTAAATTAAACTATTAATTAACTTAAAATTAAATTCCACCTATGGTCGGGTAATCATATCTGATAGGTGTAACACCTCGTCTAGGTGGTGGCGACCCTGTCTAATGTAACTAGTTGTTATGC